CTCCAAGGATGAGTCACTGACAGGAGCAGCCACGGTTCCGGAGCTCAGGCGGCGGCGCCAGCCCCAGGGCACACAGTAGCTGCAGAGTTTAATGGTGGGATTCAGGTGCTAGGTGACAGGAGGGGGATCACAGCGCTTCCACACGCCCCGGGTAAAATCTGAAGGCTATTTGCTTGCAGGCCTTACCCGGGGTCCCTAGAGCTTTGGCCGGGATCCCAAACACCTGCCTTCCCGGCTTCTTCCCTCCACAACTCTGTAGCCTTTGAGGAGCCATCAGCCCGGGAGGAGGGGGTGGTCAGGCACAAATGCTGCACTACCACCCCCACCCCTGCAGCCCGTGGGGGTTCAGGATTCCGCCAGACACAGGGACTCCCTCCCTCCCTCCCAGGCTCTCACAGCCTCCCTCCTTCGCTGCAGTGACCCCTCCTGATAAGCAGTATGGCAAACGGGCAAGCCTGGAAAGATCACTCTGTGTCCAGAAGCCTTGGGTTTGAATCCCAGGTCTTGGCTTCCTTGGGCAAGCCATCTGACCTCTCTCAGCCTCCATTTGCCAGCCTGGAAATTCCCCTCCACCCTGCGCAGGAGGCAAGCCCGGGAGGAGCCCTGCCTAACAGCGTCGTCAGCCAGCGAGCTGCCTCTGAGTCAGGGCTTCACGCGTGGCAAGGCAGCTACCTCGCTGTGAACTATTGAAAAGCCAGCCTTTGACACAAACAGCCGCCTCTCACCGACAAAACGGGGCTGATGATGCTAATGTCTGCCTCACGGGGCTGCCCAGGGAAGCCAACGCAACTGCGTGTGCAGCAGCACTCTGTGAACAGTGTGGAGCCAGCCCGGGGAGGGGTCCCGCTCCCACCACAGGATAGCGAGTGGCAGGGTGAGCAGGGCAAGGGCGAGAGCTGACATTATAATCTCTAGGAGCGGGACCGGAAGCCGAAAGGACAAACGTGGCCAGGACCACGGTGGTCCCTGCATGTAGGGATTGTTTTGTTCACTGTTGTGTCTTGGGACCCTGGCCTAGGGCTCGGAGAAGTATACAGCTGGTGCCCAATCTGTGTGTGTTGGGCTCATGCCTGAATGAACAGAGACTAAAAGAGAGACAGTTCCCGAGCCTGTTCTCCACCTCCCCTGCTTCCACTGCTTTCTCTCACAGACCTCTGCTCCCTGCATCCGAGATCACAGGTGCTTAACGTAGAGTCTGTGGACCCCCTCCAAAACGACATGCACGATATACTGTGTTTTTGAAAATGTATCTTCCTGAATCAAGCGTCCGCGTTCTGCCCAGAACAATTTTTCGGTAAAGCCTGCTCTGAAAGGTAACAACGTCTCCCAGGTGCTCAGTGAATACCCATCAGTTGGATTCACTGCCAGGTGCCCTCTGGATTTCAAAACAAAACAAAACAGAAGAGCAGCCTTCACTTTTTCTCTCTGAGATGGGCGTACAGGGTCCTGCCAGCCTGCAGTTCCCCTTCAGCCCCCGAAAGGTGCCAGGCAATCGACCTGCCGTCTTTTATACAGAAAAGTGGTGACCCCGCATCATCAGGGGGCCTGTCTTGGGAGTGGCTGTTATGCTGCTGGGTGGGTCACAGAGCTGCGTACACTCTCGTGCTCTCATGTCCCACCTCATGCATTTAGGTGGGACGGGTGTGACAGTCAGCGCCCCGAATCTAGGAGTATTAATGAGGCCTCGTGGTGTCCGAACTCGGAGCAGTGATCCCTCTTCTAAATATTTCTTCCACTATATATAAATACGTGTGTATGTGTATATGTGTGTATGTATCTGGGCACACGTGTGTTTATGTATCTACATGTCACTGTATGTGTCTATGTATCGGAGGAAATTGACAATATATAAACAGTAACAAAATGCCCTCTTCTCCTCTCCCCCTCCTCCAAAGAACCACTGTGAACACCTGGCTTCTGTTCTTTCCATTTACCGTGTCCAGCATTTATTGAGCACTTCCTGTATGCCAGAAGTTTGCCATGCAGTGTGCTTCCCAAGCAGCATCTCACATTAACTTCCCATCTTATGGTGGGCATTACCACCTTCTTATCTGCACATTTGTATTTTCTTAATTTTTAAGGCCAAGGAGGGAATACTGTTTTGTCATCTTGCCTTTCACCATACCATCGAAATTTCCTTCCATGATATTAAATATTCATTTACAGAATCTTTTATAACCGCGGCATGATGTCTTATTGCCGGCAGGTTGCATGCTTCTCAGACTGGGGTGCGTGTACCCCTGAGGGCAAAGCCACGGGATAAATTGTAGAGCATTTTCCTGAAGGAGAAATTTGACTCAAAGCTTTGGGAGGGGAAAAAGCCCATTATTTTAATATCAAAACAAGTACAGATATGCCATAGCATAGAACCCAGAGCACCCATGAATTTTAAAACAAAGCAGCAAGGTCCAAAATCGTGAGAGCTTGCCGTTATTCTCCTGAAGACCCATGTCCCCTCTCCTCTGAGGGTGGCAGAAACATCTGAGAGGCACCAGGTTCAAGTTCAAGCCCCTCTTTTTCAGAGGGGGAAACTGAATCCCAAGGAGAAGGAGGAATAGCCCATAGTCTGCAGGTTATGCATTGTAGAGCCAAGCCAGGTGACCTCTGGGCTCTGGACCTTCCGAATTTTGCATCACCCTTTGACCGCTTTTTCTGACCTCGCCTCTTGAGCAATCAAGCCTCTGCATCTCAACGGTGGAAAGTTTTGGCTTCCTGCAGGACCCATCCTTAGCAGCAGTTTTTCCTTTTTACGGTGCTGGCCAGGATCTGAGCTGTGTGCTCAGTGACTCCCCCAGCACTTGGATTTTCCAATGAATATAGTGGATTATGGGCGTGTATCCACTGGTCTGTCTTCCCCATGAGACTGGGAGCCTCTTGAAGACAGGAATTAGGAGCTAACGTTGTTATTATAATCTGACATTTATTGAGCACCTACTAGATGCTAGGTGCCATGCTGAGTGTTTCATTTATAGTATTTACAGTCTTCATCACAGCTTTTCGAGGAAGGTATCGTCATCCCCAGTTATCTGGTAAGAAAACTGAGTGGTTAACACTGGCCTACCATCCTGCACACAAATATTTTGGTAGAAATATTTATTGTCGACTTACCTGTCAGGACTTTGCTAGATGCTGTGGACAGTTGTGATGAACAAACCAGACTCCACTCCTGCCCTTGTGGAAATTACAGACAAGTTGGAGAGATGATATTCAGTGAATAATTTTACAAACCACAGCCAGAGCCCGTTTATCTGCCTTGGTTTGAACATGCCTCAATGACTTCTTAGCTAAATGACCAGGGCAGAGTCTTATACCCTCCCTGTACCTCATCTTCTTCTATAAAATGACAGTCATTGTCGTATCGACTTCATAGGAGTACTGTGATGAGGGAAGACAGTCACACATACATAAAGCACTCGAGCAGGGTCTCCCACATTCCAGATGTATTGTTGCTGCTGGTGGTACTGAGAGGCAGGGCATACTAGGAAAATTGTGGCAGGGGAGGACCAGCTTCAGGGGTGACATGTGATGTGAGTTCTATAAGGTGAAGAGGAGTTAACTTGGCAGAGTGTGGGGGGGTGGGCAGGGGAGGGGAGCAGGAGGTTGGAGGGATGTTCCGAGCGGAGGGACTAGTAGGTACAAAACATGGGGGGTGGGGGTGCGCAGAGCAAGTAGGTGAGCTCACCTGAGGAACTGTGAGGAGTGTGTCTGGATCACATTACGTGGGGAGCCGCGCCAGGTCAGCATCTAGAAGGAGAAACCTGGGAGGAACCAGATAGAGCTGTCACCAGGACCTGGGCCCATTGCACCACACCGGTGATCCAGGCCACAGAAGAAGCTCAGTAGATGTTTGTCCAGTGGGCAAGCAAGCACGTGGACAAAAAACTGTTAGCCTCACGTGGTCTTGGCTAGGGGTGGTCCGTTGTCACCCAGCTAGGAAAGGAGTCCATTGTCCCATTTACACAGTGCTGTGTGGACAGCCCCATCCCACTGTCAAGCTGTTAAACACCCATTTGGCTAGCCCCTGTCTTCTTGGCAGTAGGATAAACCTTGTGTCTTCCAATGGAGACATCCAACAACGGGGACTCAACCAGAGTGGATGCCGATAGACTCCCTATGGCCAGTTCCTCAGATCTAAGCCAGTGGTGTTCACATGTTTTTACTCGTGGAACCCTATGTTGAAATAATCTGAGAAGGAACCCAGGGTATGGAATGGGGACAAGCAGAGCTTCCATACCAAGGACTCAGAGCTCTTGGTAACACCCGTTGCTTCTGAGAAAGCACGAGGGCTCCATAAGGCAGTACAGAACCCAAGGGTCGAGCTGAACCTCTGTTTCCCCCCAGGTATGGAAACCGAAGCCCAGAGAAGGGGTGAATCTCCCAGGGTCACACAACTAGGGACAGACCCAGAACTAGATCGAGACATTAGACATTGATTTTATACCCCAAGATTTTCCTCCACACACCCCCAACCGCCCCCACAGTGTGGGGCCTTGAGGTGGGGAAGGGGCGCACAGCTGGGATCTTGTCCAGGGTCCGGCCTCCAGCCCCAGTCAGGCCACAGACCACAAGAGACAAAAATCTGGAAGGCAGGCGTGGGAGGGCTGTTCGGGGTCACGGCCTGGTTATGCCGTGTCTTTTTTTTCCTCTCTCTCTCTCTCTCTCTCTCCCTTTTAATTGAGTTTGAGGTGGTTGTTTTTTGTTTCCTTAAGAAATGGAAAAGAATGAAACTGCGTAAACACAGCGATGTTAACTCCCTGAAAAACCTCCTGCCATTTTAACTCTGTTACCGGAGAAATAAAAGAGAAATAATTTGTCCACCCACACTTAGCTCTTTCTGACGAAGGTAGGTGAATATTGCTTTGCTAATCGAGGGTGACGGCTGGAAGTGGAGCCACGCTGACTGATCCCGGATTGAGAGGAAGCCACAGCCACCCCAGAAGGAGCGGCCCGCCGTGGGTCGCCTGGGCCCGAGTCACCAGGCACCTGCCCACCTTCCACAGGTCTCCCCCAGCCGGTAGTGATGGAGGCGCTGGACCAGGCCGAAGGGCTCATGGACTCGCCCAGAGAGATGCCTCCGCCCCTGCCGCCTTCACCGCCCTCGGAGCCTGCTCAGAAGCCGCCACCTCAAGGCGCTGGGAGCCACTCCCTCCATGTCAGGAGCAGCCTGTGCCTGTTGGCTGCCTCGCAGCTCCTGGTAAGGATACCTTGGGCCTCACGAGGGTCTGGAGAGAGGGCAGGTGGAGGGACAGCCCACCACGTCCTCGCCAAGATGGCCGCCTGGGGCTCGTGGGGGATGAGGGGCCTTCTTGGTGCCCCTCGGTGACTCGAAGCTCTCTGGCCGGGGTGTGCAGGAGGATGGGGTTCTCAGCTACAGCCTCGCTAGCTAAGACCCTCACAGCCTGCCTTCCCTAAGCCGAGAAGCAGGAACTTAGGGCTCCCTAGCAGCCAGGCCTGCAGGGGTCTCTCAGAGGACTTCCTGTCTAGGGAGATAGCTCTGGAAACTTTTCCTTTTATGTATGTACCTGGTTGGGGAGGGGAGATCCCCTCTGGGAGGGGCTTTATCTTGGCTCCCTCCAGTCAGCTTTTCTGCAGGGAGCATCCTGAGGCCTTCTCCATGCATGCAGTACCTGGCCTCTTCCCTCAGTCATAGAAGTCTGGACTTTGGGGGGCTAGGTGAGGCTGCAGGCGAGCTCTGCTGGAGGAATACGGGGGCAAGAAGCCCAGGCTCCAAACTCAGTTCATTCCCCCTACCCCGGCTGCCCCAGCTTGCCTGCGGGGTGATCTGGCTCAGCGGCTATGGCCCCATCTGGTCACAGAATGCCACAGACCTCCTCTCCTCCTTGTTCACACTCCTGGAACAGCTGGGACCCACGGTGAGTAAGCTCCAGGGAGTTCCCAGGTAGGAGGGAGCAACCGGGGACCTCCAGTGTCACCAAGCCCTGGATGGGGCTTCTCTGAGCTCAGAAGATACTTCCACACCCCCTAAAACCCTTCTCCCTGCTCCCCACCCAGCCCTGGTTGGCAGCTTTCAGAGCCTCAGTTTTGTCACTGTCAGAATGGATGAGAACTGCGTCCCACCACCCTCTGACCTATTTGTTTCGCATTCCGCAGGCCTGGCTGGGTGTTGGCACCTGGGAAGTCCCCAGTCTGCTGCTGGTTACTCTGTCTGTGATCCTCATTACCACCCTGGTAAGGTGCCTCCTGACCTGACCTCAGTGCTCTCCTCCTCAGACCCAGAGGCCCAGCCCCCATATGATCTCCGAGCTAGATGTTTCAGGTCAGGGCATCTGTCTCCTTCCACCAGTGTGCCCAGCCTGGGATGAAGGGCATCTTCTTCTAGAAAATGGGTTTGCGGTGTTCTAGGCTGAGGGAAGGACCAAGGCCAGAGAAGACTAGTGTAGAAGCCCCACACCCCTCCAAGAAGATCTCAATCCCCAGGAAACTGAAGGCAGGCAGGGGAGGGGGCAGGGGGTAAAGTGGGGGCTGGAAGCTCCCAGCTAGGTGACAGTGCCATGCACACCGCTCCCAGGAAAGCAGGGCTGTTCTAGACTCACTGAGGGCAGGGGGCTCAATCTCATGGCTACCCCATCACTCCAGGGCTAGCCAGCATGGCCCCAGGTCCATGATGCTTTATCTTCCCAACTAGGCATGGCACCTCCTAAGGGCCCCCCCAGAGCCACCCACCGCACCGCCCCCTGAGGACAGGCGCCAGTCAGTGAGCCGCCAGCCCTCCTTCACCTACTCCGAGTGGATGGAAGAGAAGGCCGAGGATGACTTCCTGGACTTGGACCCCGTCCCTGAGACTCCTGTGTTTGACTGTGTGATGGACATCAAGCCCGAGGCCGACCCTGCCTCGCTGACTGTCAAGTCCATGGGTCTACAGGAAAGGTGGGAAGGGCAGAGGAGGGATGGGCTCTGTGGGCTCTGGAGGTCTCAGGTGTGTATGAGAAGGGCAGGCGCCTGACTCTGACTCCCAGTGGAGGTCAGAGCCAGTCTCATGGTTTAACCAGTGTAGACACATGCTCCTCAGGTCTGATTACGTAGATCAGAATGGCCCAAGGTAAATGCTGTTACTGCACATGAGCACATAGGCATACACAGGTACACATGTGTGTACAGTCACATGTAAATTCCCACACTCGAGCAAGTTTGGGTAGGTTCGTTTATTACAGGACTTCTCAGGACCTTTAACATGATTGTGTTCATTGTAAATCGGCAAGGAGGTAGCATGTGGCATTCCTCAACTTCTATAGAGTGAACCCTACATCCATACTTCTGTAGAGTGTCCCATAGTGTTCTCTAGAGCATAATTTGGGAGGTGTCAGCACCTTCTTTTCAGAACCCTGCTGGGTAAGCCAGATCACACCAGGTTTGCGTAACCCATACGACGTCATGGAAGAAGCCCTGGATGAGGAGTCAGAAAACCTCTCTCTTGGTTTCAGCTCTGCCATCCCCTTACTGTGTGAGCTTGGGCAATTCTTGTCCTCTCTCTGGGACTCAGTTTCCTTTCCTATATAATGAGGGCTTTTCAGCTGCCCTGGGCCGTAGACCCTGAACATGATAGTAGAGCTGGTCTAGTGCAGACATCTGTGTTGCTGTGTTCCGCCCCGGGACTCCCTCCTCCCCTGACAGCCAAGGGGCCTGACTTCTCCTGGAGGAGATATCCATGACTCTTTGGCAGCCTTACCCAGGACTGGTGGGCCTAAGGCCATGACACAGAGAGTAGAAACCTGCTTCTCTGCTCTAGGCAGGTGCCCACTCTCATGACTACCTGGGGCCACAGGGCTGGGACAGCAGTGACAGAAGAGAGCCCAGGGAGGGTTTGCTGAGATTGCCTTGGATGGAACCTCTGGAACTGGGGCCCCCAGCCTCCCTTGGTTAGCGACTCCACTGCAGGAGGCAGGAGATGGGGAGTCAGGCCTCAGCCTCAGGGCTGAGACTCGTACTCCTCGCACAGGAGTGCTGTCCCCCTCCCACTCCTCTCCTGGGTGCCCCCCTGCTCCCACTCTGGATCTCTCCTGCCTCCCCACCTCTGAGACGTGCTCCCCCTTTCCCGGTCCTTCCAGGAGGGGCTCCAACGTCTCCCTGACCCTGGACATGTGCACACCGGGCTGCAATGAGGAGGGCTTTGGCTACCTCATGTCCCCACGAGAGGAGTCAGCCCGGGAGTACCTGCTCAGCGCCTCCCGGGTCCTGCAGGCCGAGGAGCTTCACGAGAAGGCCCTGGACCCCTTCCTGCTGCAGGCAGAGTTCTTTGTGAGTCCCCCCAGCCAGCCACCCACAGCGGGCAGACCTTGCCGCTTACATCAGTCACGCATCCAGCCAGGCAGTGAAGCGGGGTGTCCATCAGCTCTCCTGCCGTCTTGGGCAAGCTGCTTCCCTCTGAGCCTCAGTTTCCTTGTCTGGAAAATGGGGATAAAAATCACTGAATGTTGCAAGGGTTAAAGAGATGGCTAACGTGTGCAGAGCCCTCAGCCCAGTGACTCGTGTCCAGTGGCGTCCCCAAGTCCTAACTGCCCAGCACTGTGCTTTGAAAGTGATAGAAAGCCCTCCTTCTGACTCAGCTGTTTCCCTCCTGCTGCCCCACATCTCCAAGCACTGTTCATCCTCTGACAACTCTCCGGTCACCTCCAGCCCCCGAGACCCCTGCAAGGGCCTCCAGCTGCCTCTTGATGGACTTAGAGGGGCCTAATAAGTGACATCTCTGTTTTGCCTGCCTGAGCACTCAGCCGGTCGTTAGCTAAGAAGTGGGAGATGACAATATCACCTTCATTTTTGTTGATGAAACTAAGCTTGGAATGAGGCTTAGGTGCGGAGCAATAGCGAGCTTCCTAGTACTAGGAATTAACATGTTTTCTACCCACCCCAGGTGGTGTACCCCTACATTTCTTTCTCTGCAGGAGGGTCCCCAAGGAGGAGGAAGGAAGGGACTTGGGCCCAAAAGTGCATTCCTTACTCGAACTCACCCATCCAGGAACTCATCCACCAGTGTGGGCAGAAAAGGGCAAGGGGTTCTGAGTATTTGGGGAGAGCCCCTTCTGGGAGAAGCTAGGGGGATGGGACAGTCATGTGCCTCCCTCAGTTTCCCTTGCACAGGCCACCTTGCCTCCTACCTGGACCTGATGGCTATTTCTTCTGAGAAAGCCTCTGCCACCCTCTGACCCACAGCTCCACATTCTCCAGGGCTGGGCATGGCCTATCTTAGCTGAGTTGGGCCAGCCTCCCACGCCTATGGGGACTGTCCACTTCAAACTGGACCACCACCTCCCTCCACCCCCAGGCCTTTCTCTTCTCAGGCGTCTGCTCACATCATCCCCTCACTGGATGCTTCCAGAAAGTCTTCCCCAACTACCCCACCCTCAGCTTCACTGTAAGTTCCCACCACCCTCACCTCCCCTAGAAGAAGGGGCTTGCATCCTCTCTGGTGTTTTCTGTTCAGTAGATCATTGTTACTCTGGCCCAGAGACGGGGAAACACAGCCTATACCCTCACTCCATGGGCATTTTTGTACATGTTGGTTTCGGGGGCGGGGGTTGGATTCTCATAGTAACCCTAGAAATTGAGTGTAGTGATCCTTGAAGCCCATACTTACTATGTCCTGAAACTGTGGACACTGTGAACCTGTCTGGGGTCAGACACTGAGCCATGTGGACAGGTGGAAGGGGGAGCAAAGAAGCCAGGGGCATTCGGGAGTCACCCCAGGAATAGTGGGGAGGGCGCAAGAGGGGACTTGAAAGGCTGGGAACTGTTTGGACAGATGGAGAAAGGTGAGAACAGTGCTCCTGAACCTGCGAAAGGTCAGAAGGAATGCTGGGAGCTCAGACCTGGAGGCAGGAGGGCAAGGGGATATTCACAGCAGGGAAGAGAGACAGATATGTAATTGGAGAGCGGGTCCCCTGTCGGCGGGAGTGGGGGGGCTGGCAGGGAGATTGGGGGAGCGGCAGAAACAAAGACCAGATCCCAGGCCATCTCACAGGCCAAGCAGAGAACTTTGGACTTGGGGCTTTTGACACGAAACAAGATTGAGAAGCTCAAACACATCAAAGAAGGAGGCTTCTTTCCTGCCAGAGAATTGGGGAAGGCTTCTTGGAGGAGGTGTTGTTTAAGGTGGACAGGACAGAGGAAGAGGAGGACGGGGTGGATGTTCCCACAAGGCAAGCTGCCCAAGCCGAGCTCCTGAGGTGGGGATGTCCAGGGCGGGCCCTTGGATCTGCAAAGCCACTCAGGTTGACTGCAGCTCTGGGCGTGTGGTAGAAGGTGGGGATTGGCTGGGTCACTTTTTCTCTTGTTCTTGTTCATCAGCCATTTACTGAGCATCTACTACATGCCAGGCTGGCTCTGGATCAACAGTTGTAATAATAACTGTTATTATACACTCCCTATGTGCCAGGCACAATTCACAGTGCTTTTTACGTGCAGACTCGTTTACTAGTAAATGTTCACTGAATGAATGTATGCATTCAAGCAAGTGTCTGGGCTAGAAGTTAAGGGCTGACCAGTGCTGGATTCAAACGTCTATGAGAGGCAGCCCACAGCTGCTAACACCCCCGTGTCCTCCTCTCACAGGAAATCCCCATGAACTTTGTGGATCCAAAGGAGTATGACATCCCTGGGCTGGTGCGGAAGAACCGGTATAAAACCATCCTTCCCAGTGAGTAACTCCACGCCCCAGGGGGTAGGGATGGGCTCACCTTCACCTCAGTGCCCCTCGCCCTGAGGAAGACCTCAACCCTAGAGCTAGGTGTCCAGAGTCACCAGGAGAAGAGGAGGAGGGTTGGGGGTACCCAATGAAGGGAAAGGCCCCCCCTTGTGAGGGCAGAGGTGAGTTCATTCCTTCACCCTTGCCCTGGCTGTGGACACCCAGAGAGAAAGAATGAGGATAATAGCCGCTCCCAGACAGGAGTTTAAAGGCCTCTTTATCTCTTCAGAATGGGCAGATTTTAAAGAGGGGAAGATAAGGCTCAGAGATGTTAAGTCATCCATAGTCACATAGTCACATAGCTAGGAAGTGCAGAACTGAGTTTCAGCCTGGACCTCCTTGACCCTGGAATCAAGCAAGCTCTTTTGTCTACCTTGAGTCGAGTTGGGTCGGACTGTGAGTCCTCTAACAGCAAGAGCCACCTCACAAGGGAATGAGCTGTCTGCCAGAGCGTGAGCTCCCCGCCACTCAAGGTATTCAAGTGGTGTTGCATGATCTATCCCCTGGCAGATCTGAGAGGGATTTTCCCTCTTTGAAGGCAGTTAGACCAGGCGACCTAACACTCCTCTTTCAGCCCTGGGGTGTCATTTTCAGATAACTTTCATCAAGCCCCTATCTGCCTGTCACCCTTGCCAAGTTCTGGCCCCAGGCCCCAGGGCTCGCTTAGGGGGTGACTTGTTGAAAGTGAATCCCCACCAACCTACTCCACTCAGTTTGTGGAGTAACGAGGCTTTAAAAAAGCAGTTTTGCCATCAGCATCTCCAACAACATGTAAGATGTCATGACTTATTTTTAACTTTTAAAATATCGACTTGTGGTTGCTATGGTTACGCAGTCTCTAGGTAGTTCCGGTTAAACAAAGCACCATTTAAGGCCAGGATGCATTATTCAGGGCTGCTCACCTCTTTCTTCATCTTGTCACCTTCCAACCAACCAGCCCCCTGTGGAGGGAGGGGCTCAGGTCCCCCAGAACCCAGGGCCTTGCTGCTCACTCAGAATGGCCCGTGGGGGTGGGTGGGAGCCAGGCCACCTCTCCTCCTGGTCCCCACTGGATCCCTGAAAGCTCTTGAGCCACTTCAGCTCTGAGCCTCCAGGCCTTGGAGCCCCCACAGAGCCTCCTCCGCAGCCAGCAAGAATTGACCCTGGGCCTTAGAGACTGGGCTGGCGTGGGGATGTAGGGGACAGGGGCCTGCCAGATCCAGGGTGCTGGGAGGCTCGTTTTCTCATTCATTGGGCACACATTGACTGAACCCCCGCCCCAGGGGCTGGGAACGGAGGCATGAATGAGACACAGGGCATTCCCAGTCTAATGGGAGGAACAGATCCAAGGGCAGTTCATAGGACAGACTGACCAGTAACCCCAGCTGGCAACACAGAAGACGAGATATGAGGGAGGGATTTCTGTGCATTTGCCACTGTGTTTCCCAAATACCAAAATGGTGCCTGGCCCATAGTAGACCTTCTGCTCCTATCTGAGTGAAGGAGGGAGGGAATGAATGAATGAATGAACAAACGAATGGACGTCTCTCGGATCAGCTCTCCCTCTCCATCCTCACTGCCATGTGACTTTTGTGGGTTAGGGCGTCTCTCTTGCCCAGTTCCAGGGGCACCATTTGCAAAGACTGCATTGACGTAATGCCCCTGGCCTTGGGCCAGGCAGTAATCTCCTGACAGGTCTCCTGAGTCCTGCGCTCTCCCCTTCTGCCCATCGTCTACCATTATCACAGAAATGGTGCAAAATAGAAATCCAGTCGTGTCCTTCTCCTCCTTAGAAACTGTCATTGTCACCCTTGTATTCCTTGTGTTCCAGTCTAGCCTTAGAAGCGTGGTTTATAAGACCCTCTATCAGCTGGTTCCTCTCCAGCTCATGTCTCCATCCCCCATCCTGGCCTGTGCCCTGGAATCGGACAGAATGGTGTCCCCTACTGTGCCCCTACTGGGCCATCACACCCAGCCTGGAGTTATCAGACCACCCACTGCTTGCCTGCCTGCCTAGTACTTGGGGGCAGGGACCGCACCTCCTTTGTCAAGGAGTCCCTGCCCTTAAGCACAGTGCCAGGCACAAAGGCAGTGGGCTCATCGTGTCCCCAGTCCATGCCAAAGGCCCTGGTGTCTGGCCCGAGGGTTCTGTGCCCACTTCTGGCCCCTAATCTGGACAGGTATCCACAAAAAGGGACCCGGCCCCTCAGCACTCCCTCCCTGTTCCTTTCTTCTGCCTGGACCACCCAGCCTCGCCTTCCCTTCCCCTTCCTCCTCTGCTGCCCCATCCCCAGATCAGCTGCCAGGACCACAGGCCTTGGGGCTGGGCATAAAAGGGCTGGAGAGCAGAGGCTTATGAGTGTCTCCTGTTTTCCCTCCCTGGTTTGGGATTCTCTCTACCCGGTAACTTCTAGGGAAGCTGGTAATAAATGCAGTCATAACAGCTCTGGGCTACATAGTGCATGTTGGGCTAAGTTACTGGCCTAGGGACAAGTTACCATTCACTCCTTTTACCTTTACAAGACCAGTATGGCTAGGATGGAAGGGATGTCTCCAGTCTGCAGACAGAGCACGGGGAAGCTAAGTTAATGGTTCACGTTCACACTACCAGCAAGTCATAGCATCAGGACTTGAACCCAGCTCTCCAGCTCCCCTGTCCTGCCTTGGAGAGCCCCAGAAATGGGTGCTGGCAACATCTTTAGTTCAGCCCTCCCTATTCAGGAGAGAAAGGGAAGCCCAGAGAAGGGACAGGACAGGAAGCTGGTGACAGAGCCAGAGCAGAAACCAGGCCCAGGGCCCCCTACCACCTCCCCAAACACCCTACGCAGCCTCCCTGTGTCTGTCCCAGCTCCTCACCACCAAGAAAAGACTCCATCCAGGGAGGCTTTAGCTGGAACAGGGCAGATTCTACTCCAGGGAGAGGGGCAGGAGGTTGTAAGACTCTGTAACTACAGGATTGGATGTGCGAATGGGTTGGAAAAAAGAAAAAGAAAAAAGCCGTTTGTGCATACATGCATCGGCTGCTGAGATCCTGCGGGTGGATGGCAGGCTTGGAAGGCTCCGCACCTTCCATCCCTGTGCTCTCCCTTGGCTTTCTACCCCCAAACCTCAACAGTCCTTTATATTTACAAAGTACTTTACGGTTTACATCACACCTTCCCAGCTGTTTTCTTATTTATCTTTCCAGCAACTGTAGGAAGTAGGCAGCTTTACCCCCTTATTACAGATAGGAAAATTGAGGCTTAGGAAGACCGTGTGCTTTTCAAGTAGACCCAGCACATTAGTGACCATGTGTGCCAAACGCTTGTCCCTGCTGATGGGGATGTGTCCCCTAGGTCGTTCTCTACTTGACTTAGCTCTGTCCTCTCCAGAACATGAGGCACGGAGAGACCAGGGCAGCTTAAGGGACACAGACAAGGGGCAGGCACTGATGCCACAGAGGTAGAGAGCCAGGGCCACAGAGATGGGCCAGTGTTTGGCTAGTGGGCAGGGGAAGGAGAAACTTCAAGAGTCTCAAAAGAAATGCGGGTGCCCTGTAGTGGGCCAGATAAGATGGGGCCCTGCCCTAAAGGGGTTGTCGCACCTGTCAAATAGCAGCCTCACCTGTCTCCCCCTGCCCCAGACCCCCACAGCAGAGTGTGTCTGACCTCACCAGACCCTGAAGACCCTCTGAGTTCTTACATCAATGCCAACTACATCCGGGTACGTAGCCCCATCCCTGTGACCTCTCCCTGAAAGGGAGGCCCGAGCCCACAAGATCCACCTTCCAGGCTTGGCCCTAAGCCAGCGTGGCTCCCACCAGCAACCCCCACCCCCCAGGGAAAGGCCTGAGTGTGGGGACTAAGCCCAGGGAGCACGGCATCCGGCCCTGACAGCCTGGACTTGGCTGGCCGCAGGGCTATGGTGGGGAGGAGAAGGTGTACATCGCCACTCAGGGACCCATCGTCAGCACGGTTGGGGACTTCTGGCGCATGGTGTGGCAGGAGCACACGCCCATCATCGTCATGATCACCAACATCGAGGAGATGAACGAGGTAGGCCTCCCCCACCCCGACCCCACTCCACTGTGCTGTTCCCAGGGGTCTGCCACTTTGTGCCCTTCGCAGAGCATCTTGTTTCCATATTCCTCCTGAGGACAGCCTTGGGAGGTTGGTAGCCTGCCGCCAAAGTGGGGACATGGGAAGCCGAGCAAGGAGGTCATTTGCTCAGGGCCACGTAGACGGGCCAACCTGTGATGGGAAACAGGCTGCCTGGCTGCCTCCCCACCAGCCAGGGCTCACTCTGGCAACTCCTGTACCGGTGCCAGCCCATTTACTCAAATCCCCAGAGGAGTCCTTTGAAGTAGGTATTACTCCCATTTGCCAGATGAGGGACCTGAGGCTCAGAAGGGGGAAGTAACCTACGGGTTACGAAGCTGAGATTTGAACTCTGCACTCTCGAATTGCGAACCCATTGCCCTTTCATATCTTGCCCTGCTGGCCCTGGTGGGGCACTGGGGAGACTGGGAGGTGCGGGGACTGTGAGTGTAGCAGCTGGTCTGGGCCCCTGCAGAAGTGCACTGAGTATTGGCCGGAGGAGCAGGTGGTGTACGACGGTGTGGAGATCATCGTGCAGAAAGTCATTCACACTGAGGATTACCGGCTGCGACTTATCTCCCTCAGGGTGAGGCCAGGGGCTGCGCTGGGCCGGGTGGGGAGGATGGGGGACAGGGCCATGACGGGGGTCAGGGGGCACCACAAATAACGGGGTCCAAGACTCCCCTGTAGCTGAGATCCAGGCCTGTGCATTCTCAGGGTATATCCATACATAAGCAGGGATGGGGAGGGGTGGATGACCGGAGGCATGACGAAACCTCAGTTGCATTTAAAGCTCTTGGATTCTCTCTGTGTCTACACTGTCATTCTGAATGCTTTCCAGCTCTGCTTCAGACACGCTCAAGTCCAGGACTGCCTGGATGAGGGATCTCCAAAAGCCTCCAGCACTGTCTTTACTTAAAACGGAAGGTCCACTGTCCCATTGAGCTCCTGTAGTACGCAACCTGTCCACCAGAGGGCAGGCGCTCCTTGCTGCGTTTGGGTTTCACAGGGACGTGAGGGTTACACAAAAAAGATTTTTTTTTTAAAAGGCATATACTATATGAACAATACAGAACAGCACAGAAGAGTGTGTGGGGGGGGGTACCCTCCCACCCTGAAGTTGTGCTTCTTCCATGCAAGGCATAACAGAGGAGACTGTTCCTTTGGAATCAGGAGGATTAATGGGTTCTGTTTTTGAGAAATAAGACCCATGTTTGGGGAAAGTAGAGCCCAATGGCATAACCCCACGGGTTGGAAGAGGTGAGCCAGGCACCAGGAAGCTGGTGCTCTATCCAGAAACAGTTTGAAGTCTACTGACACTGGCAGCCACAGGGTCAAACTCAAGGCCTGAGACTTGTCCCTCTGATACCAGAGAAGGTAGAAGGTAGAGTGTCAAAGCGCTCAGCCCTGGAAGGGCAGTGGCCACCTGAGACACTCTGAGATCTAGTCCTTGCCGGAGGGCATGAGAGAGCCAGGAGGTGGGGGTTGAGGCTTGGGTAGCCACCATAGCCAGATAACCTAGAGGCCCAAGGAACCAGCTTTCTGCTTCCCTAGAAAGAGGCGGGAAGTGAAGTGAGGGCTGCCTCATTGTGTCAGTGACACCGGACAGCTTGGGGGTATTTAGTTTTGTCCATGAGGCTTTACAAGCGTCCACCCTAAGCCTCATTCTGGGTTGTGTCCTGGTAACATAGAGCTGTCCAGAGCCTGTACTCTCTCCGAGAGGAGCACCCACAGATGGTAAGTACCAAGCTAGTGATGGGTGAGAAAACAGAAGATCGACCCTCTGTTAGCCAGGGTGCTCAGAGAGGGCTTCCTGAAAGTGATGGTGCTGACGGGGCTTTTGCAGGATGAATAAGAATTGACTGTGGGGCAAACAAGGGGGAAGAACATCCCAGGCAGAGAAAAAAGTAAAAAGGAAAGGCATGGAAGATAAACTAGCCTTGAGAGTGTGGGGGGAGGTGGGGCAAGGTTTTATCTACAGACCACTGGAATGCAGGAGCATTGAGTACTAGTATATAGGGGTGGGAGAAGGGCCTGGAGGTCTAGACCCTGGACCATGGGTCCTGTTTGCCAGACTGAAGACTGAGAAGAAAGGGTTTATTCGGAGACCAGCAGGAGCCCTGGGAGGGTTCTGAGCAGAATAGCGGCCTGTCCAGATTGGTGCTGCAGACAGACCACGTCTGGCCGTGTTGGAGATGGAGTAGTCAGGGAAGAGTGAGAAATGGCAGAGATGATAAAAGCCAAAGCATAGGTTGTGCTGGTGCAGAGGAGAGAAAACTGACAAGACTTGCCAGGGGAGGGCAGGCGGAGCAGAGCGGTGATGGGAGAGGGAGAGTCCCAGCACTCCGAGCAAGGGACTAATGGGTGACCAGGTGGTTTGTCAAGATAAAGAACCAGAGGACAGGAGTGGATTGGAGAGGGACTCTGCCTCTCTTGGATGATCCTGGAGTTGCTGGGGCAGAACTGGCCAGTGAAGACCAGTGCCAGTATCACTGATGAGCTTTCACTACCAAGCTGGCTCTGGGTCTCTGATGCCACTGAGCCCTACGCCGTGTAGACGGCAGAGGCCGTCGGTCCCACTCCCTGGGCCCTCTTCGCTGTGTTCTTGCTGCTCCTCCCATCCCCTCTGTGGGCTGGTTTGTGGGGTCTAAGAGTTCACGTGTATCTAGGGTGGGTCTCTGTCTCCTGGACAGAGTGGGACTGAAGAGCGAGGCCTGAAACATTACTGGTTCACGTCCTGGCCCGACCAGAAAACCCCAGACCGGGCACCCCCACTCCTGCACCTGGTGCGGGAGGTGGAGGAGGCAGCCCAGCAGGAGGGGCCCCGCTGTGCCCCCATCATCGTCCACTGCAGGTGGGTCTCCGTGGCCGGCCCCCTGGGCAGGGTGGCCTCCCTACTACCGAAGATGCCCTGTCCCTTACCCTGGCATCCTTCCACTCTCAGCGCGGGGATCGGCAGGACGGGTTGCTTCATTGCCACCAGCATCTGCTGCCAGCAGCTGAGGCATGAGGGAGTGGTGGACATCCTTAAGACCACGTGCCAGCTCCGCCAGGACAGGTCAGCCCAGGCGCAGGGGTGGGGGCCCACGGGGAACCAGAGTACCAGGGGCAGCAGGGGGAAACTGATGCACGCACGAGGTCAGGGGCCAGAGGACACACTGCAAATGGACTGCCTGGTAGGTAGGGAGCGGAGAGGACAGCTGGATCCAGACAGCTGGAGGCTGGATGGGGTGGAAACAGGAACACCACTGGTGAGCAGAAGGACAGGGGCGAGAGGTAGAGGGGCATGCCATCCCTACCCCGCTATCTGTATGGAGGTAGGAGGGGCAGGAAGGAGCAGAGGGCGTGGCTGGCAGGGATCGGACTTTTCACTCTACACAGAGACAAGGCCCCTTGCGAATGATTGGTAGTCACGGGTTTGGGGGCACCCTCCCACAGCCCATCTGTCCACAACCCCATGCCCCCGTGTGTCTCTGCCCCCAGGGGCGGCATGATCCAGACATGCGAGCAATACCAGTTCGTGCACCATGTCATGAGCCTCTACGAGAAGCAGCTGTCCCGCCAGGCCCCAGAGTGATGGTACTCCTGCCCTGAGGTCCTCTGGGCACCACTCAACCTGAGTCTGGGCCGCCACCCTGGCCGCGTGCAGAGCCCTGCCTTGGGCCTGGCCTGCCCCCCCCCATCCCTGCCCCTCCTGCTTCCTTCTCTTCAGTCTGCTCCCTTCTTCCCTCCCTACCTCCTCCTCCTCCGTCAGCCTTGGCCTGGCTCCAGCCCCCCCAATATAGCTCTTCCTACTGTACATACTGGGGAGGGGGGCGGAAAGGGGTAGGGATGTGCCAGGCCAGGCCTGGGGCTCTGGGGCCTGACCCGCGCCATGCAGACCTGGGGCCTCAGTTTTTAACTATGGTTCCATTGCTACTTGATCCAAAACATTTCTGTGCCGCACTCCCAAGTGTCCTGCCGCAGTGTGTCTGTCTGTCCACCCATCTCTGCTGTCTATACCGGCCACTGTGTCTTCAGCCCGGGAAAGGGGTCGTGAGCTCCAGCCTCAAAGCAGCCCAGGCCGAGGCACCTGCCTCGGGCCCCCACCCCTGCTTCCCATGCAGCAGACTGCATTTTGCCCCAGTTACGGGGACCGGATGGGGAGCTCCCGAGGAGTTGACTGAGAGATCTCAGCTGGAGGAAAGGTCTCTGGGTTGGGGTGGGGAGGGAGGAATGTCACAGCAAGGGTGACCTCCTGGTGTCAGATGCCCTCAGGAGGCAGTGACCAGCCTGTGAGGCATGGGGGGAAGGACGGAGGGGGGGCTGTGAACCCAGAGGACCTGGGCCCCGATGGGGGTGGAAGAAGGGGGAGCTCTGAGGGCGGGGTGGGGTTTGGGCCCCAGATCTGTGTGAAACATTTCTCTGTGTCCCTGTGGGAAAGCCTTCCCAGCAGTCCCGCTGCGTGTCGCTCTGCGTGTTCCCGTGTCCATGCGTGTGTTGAGAGCCCAGCAGCAGGGCGTGCATGACTCTTGGCAACATGTGTTATCTTGGAGCCACGTGTTTTTATTGCTGACTTTAAATATTTATTCCACGGCAGACAGAGACATTTGGTGTCTTTTTATAATTTGCTCGTGGTCATTGAATAGAGCAATAAACGGAGCATTTTGAGCAAAACTAGACCCCTGGGTCTGTGTGATTGCCTCTTCCCTCCCTGCCTCCCTGAAATCCGGTCTTTGTGCACCCTCTACACACACACACACACACACACACACACACACACACACACACACTCCCTCCGCCCCTCTCTCTCAAGCTCCCTGGTGCCCCTGGTGAAGATTGGAAGTATAGACCAAATCCATTTGATTTTGGCAGGATTCTCCTACACCTTCCCCCAACACCCCACCAACCCATCCGGGAGCCCTGGACCGTGGGGAGCCTCAAGGACAGGTGTGGGAGGCTTCCAGAGAAGGCAAAGTGTTTGGCAGAGACTTCGGCTAGAGTGGAGACTTTCAGGTCACAGCCAGGCCCCTCCCTTTTGGCCCACCCACTTATCCCGTGAGCCTGACTTGTCCCAACAGCAGCTGCATCCTGGAAATTTCCCTTGTAAGGCCTGGGCTGAGAGTATCCTCTCCCGAGGGGCCCAGAGACTCTGCCCCAAGGCCCGGGTCCTGAGCCATCCTGGAGACTCCTGCTCTATTCTTACCCCTGCCCTCAGGGAGGCAGCAAAAGTAGCTCTGATGGGGTTGCTGCGGGGGGGGGGGGGGGGGGGGGGGGGGGGGGGGGGGGG